GGTCTTAAGTTTGTGAAAATTACAAAGTTAACCTTGTCAGAGTTGCAGATTAGAAATATAGGTGGAAACAGTATGCACATCAATTTCTTTTAAAGTTACAGAAGGATTTTGTATGATTGTTCCAAAAATGTGAACTGTAGACATACAAGACTTTTGTAACACATACAGCTGTCTCTATCCATGTAATATACAGTATATATATAGCTATCATATAGCTATAAAGCTACAAGATAAAACAGCAATAATGTGTGCAGTGAATATGGGAGAGGCTGCAGCAGAACCTTATAGATCGAGTCATCTGGCCTCGCTTGATCTGTGGCCTGAATCCCGAGCTTGGGCCAGACAGACAGTCAGCTCAGCTCAGCTTTAACCTCCCATGGGGAGGTGAGATTCCTCCAGGCCAGCACTTTTTCTTGTCCCCCTCTCTCTCTCTGCTGTTGTAGTCTTCCTTCCTGCTATCATTCTGTTCATTTATCTATCCATACCTCTTCTTCACAGTTATCTTCTCCCCTGTATAGAACCTACTTATATGTTACTCTATATACACAACATCCAGATATTCTCCTCTTTCCTTCCACCATGAGTCTGAGTGCGAGTAGTTGCTTTATTGGATTTGCTGTGGATCAAACCTCACTAAGCGCAGACTGGCAAACATTAATCAGTTGACCTCACACATATGGTCTGAGCATCTAACCATGGCCAATCTCACGCCGAGTGGACTAATGTTCACCCACTTTCAATGCTGCTCATCACTGGAACCTTTAGATTACAATATTAATGAGGTGGCCATAGAAACATCAAGCCTGCTACAATATGACGTTATTTAGAGGCTCATGCAAATATTCTGTAATTGGAAGGATCAGAGGAACATTGTGAAGACCTGAATGAACAGATTTGTTTTCTCATGATGATTTCTCATGAAAATCTGATGTAAGGTTAATCTAAATTGTTGATCTACAAAGGGGAAATGCCCATCCTGTTTAGTTCACTGTCACTCTGACACATTTTAGCTGACTCACTCTGGCCCTTCTGCAGTGCGGACCATCAGCCATAAGTATCAGGCAGATTAAGGTCAAAGGTCAACTCATAATCCAAACGGTGTGCCTGCGAAATGGCAAAATTCAGGATACAGAAGTGTTGACAAAATAACAAAGACTCTAAAACTCAATCAATAATATTTCTTACTGTACTGATTAAAAGGTCACACAACATTAGGAGTCAAAAATGCAACAAAAGTAAACTTTTATTGTCATGTTGGGAAAAAAAATCCTGTTGATTTACAGATCAAGATATCTGAAAGCTGACTCACGTTTCCTCCTCATTTCCCCCCACAGTTTTTCCTTTACCCCCTTCATTCATCATGCATTCACAAATAAACAACTCCCGAGTTGCTCAACTAAAATTTCAGTCCGATGAATTTCATCTCATGATAGATAGGTGCTGTCTATTGCTCTTGTAATAGTTAGCTGTATGAGTGGCTTGTCATATTCAAGCTTTTTTCATTCTTTCAGCAGTTCAGTGAGCCAGCATGATAAAATCACATACTCATTCTTGTTCAGATATTATGATTTGGCAATTACGAGAGATTAATCAGAATCATGATTTTATGATCAAGTCAGGCACTATCAATAATTAATATAAAAGGCAAAAAATTAAGACACAGGTATAAGTAAAACTTACCACAAATCAATTATGCACCAGGCTTTGCCTGCAAATTAGATGCATTGTTTAGAATAATTAAACTCAAACTAATTTTTGTCTAATACAGTTTATCAAAATGGATGTCATGGTTTCACCTCATCATATCCAGGGTTCTTTTCTTTTATTTAATTTGTTTACCTAAAAGTATGCAGTTCTTTGTGCACAACCGTTAGTTTGATCAATTCTGGGGTGAAAAAGACTTCTTGCAGATAAAATAAAAAATGATTGATTCGCTAAATTGTTAACACTAAAATGGTCAATTGCTGATTAAAATCCAAGGAGCAACTTGAATATCAACATTCATTAGCCGCATATAATTCTAAATGATAAATTTTTTGAACAAAAATGATTTATTTATATTCAGCAATCATTGTAAGGCTGGAATTGCCAAACAATGACTGATGTCTGTTTTCATGAAGGTGTCAAGATGTGGTAAACAAGATGCATTCCTTTTTGAGTGTTGGTTATGATCCATATTCCCTGTTGATCTGAATCAACATTATGTCTTGTTTAAGGCTCAGCTCTTTGTAATCTTTACAGTTGTGTTGTATCAATGAAAACGGAAGTTTTAGTGGATCAACTACAGGAGTGGTTCCTATCAGATGCTGTGTCTCTGACCTTTCACCTTTGCTTTGTTTCTCACGAGTACCCAGTTCCATTAACACACTCATACTCAGCGTAAACACTCACACACACACACACACATGCGTGGTAAAAAGATGACGATCAAGGGTCGTAACCCCACCCTTCACTCTGCCCCCCACTTGAAGTTAGTGCGTTGTCCATATAATACACATGAAATTACACAGAGGTTCACAGTTATTTTACAAAAGATAAGATGCCTGAAGCAACTAAAAATGTTCTACCAGGCATTTTTGCTCGTTACAAAATCACATCCGTTTCACCCAACCCTAACACCTGACCTATTCACAAGTGAATACAACAATAGCCCAAATGGTCATTCACATACTGTCCCCCACCTCAGTCCCACCCAAAGACAAGAAGAAGAAAAAGTCTCAAAGAAATCCCTAAGAATCCAAGAAGTTCCTTTTAATTCCACTGAAAATCAATGTGTCTCTGTCACGTTTTTTTTTTCTTCGTAAATTCAAGTCTCTCCAGAGAACTGAGCAAAATTGTACACTCCCACGTGTCGCAGTTCGCAAATTCAATAATGCAGCCGATGCAGCCGTCTTTTTACCCACAACCTGTAGGCTTGTGAAGGGCAGCGAGACGTGTCCTCTGATAATCCACAAATACACAGTGTTGTGTTTTCCCCAGCATATGTTTTAGTATGATTTCTTGGTGTCTATAGAAGCATACAGCTTTCAGATCATTCTTGCATTGGTAACATTAAACCTTGGTAATGGAGTAAGGCATAAAATGCAGATAACAGAAAGAATTATTCCTCTTTTTCTGTTCATCATAGATGTTTTTCTGCTGTTTTTCTGTGTTCTCGCAATGACAGGTTTCAGAAAAAGAAAGTCTGATTGCTCCTACCAATCCATGCCTACCGACAGAGAGATCTCATTGAACATTCACAGAAATATTACAATCTGTCCTGTCTGCATTGGTCAGCATTCTGATTCAAGTCAAAATATGCCAGAGAAATAATGTGGCTGATCAATGATTTCTTGAGTTGTGTGCAAAATATTAAGGGAAATTCATTTGACACTGAACGCATTTCGGAATTTAGTTCACCCACTTGTTAGCTCCTAATGAAATGGAATACTTTAAAAAGTAAATCTAAACATTCCACTAACAGCTCATGTATTTTCCTTATCTCAAACACATTCATATTTTTATTACAAGATTAAAATGAGATTTTTGTTTGATTTCTGCTGTTAAGGAGGCCGAATTATACCGTCAGACTTCAATCCAGCACAAACATTCAACTTTAGGTTCCTTGTTACTACCTGACCAACAACTTCTTTTCAGGAATCCCCATATCATGTGTTAGTATGTAACACACAGTAAATGCAAACTAAAATACGTCTAATGCAACCTACCTTTCACGTACATATGGTTGAAAATGTAAAGGCTGAATTCATTAACGTCCAAGATACATGTATGAAAATCACATATAATAAAAACGCTTCGATATTGTATAGCTCCGATAGGCTAGCAAACTTTCATTCAAGTAATTCAAGACGCAAAAGACTAAGTAACTTCTCCTCTACAACACCTTCTGTGCAATCGTTCGGAAGGATAAACGATCGGTTGTTTAACCGATATACATCATTAAGAGATCAGTATTTTCACTCAATCCTGATCTGTCTCTTCACAAAATGAGACCACTTACAGTAAAATACTTCACCTTTTCTTGGTCTGAATATCATGAGACCGGTCATATGTTCAGATTCATTATGGAAATTATAAGGGCACGAGTTATTTTGTGCAATGCTCGAAAATATTTGATAAATTAATAAGTAAATAGAGTTAAGAGAGAGAGAAAGAGACAAAAAAAAAACAATAAATTACATGTTGCTCAGGGAAAGAGTGCTTACAAACCTGAATAGGCCATATTTCACACAGATTCATATTTTCAGTCAGCTCCTTTCATCTACAATCCCTTTGAATCAACTTGAGAGGAAAACATTATTTGTTCTGGAAGTTGCTTTTGTTTACACACTGTTTTCATGAGCATCTTAATTCCTGCCTGATGGAGCCACAGGAAGGATTCAGCCCAACTAATTAGCATAAATTTTAGGAACTTTGTCTTTTTTTGTCAGCCTCATTCATTCCTCGAGGCTTATGCTTGGCACTCATTCTTAAAAATAGTTTAATCTCAAGTTTGTTTCCCCTTAAAGATAAGGTAATACACATGCACATAGAGTATTTTTGAATCAGTAGTTCAAATAATATAAATTACAGGAGTGCAGCTGTTCACAAGGCATGAACAATATTTTTGTAAATCTTTGATTCGAGGCCCTCAGGATCCTGGTAAAGGAATACAGATACTGAGCCAAACCAAATGGTAATGTTGGCTGAGATCGATCATGAGAAGCCATTTGAAATAGCCTTCATATATTCACCATAAAATAGACCACCAGTTTGGTTGATTTGTACCACCCTAGCGCAAAACATACGGTTCTCCAAACCTGTTTAGAGTTGATTTACCAAACCACACATTAGCGTAGAGCCCATTTCCCCCTTAAAATCATTAAGGTGACAGTAGATGCGTATTCCGTGACATCCACCCTTTTAAAGCATCTTAAACTGAATCAAAGGCCACAACAGCTCTTAAAGTTCGTTCGTGTCTACATCTTTAAAGACTTCTTATTCCCTCCCCCCTGGCTGTCCACTCTCCGACCATCCAGAAGAGAAAGAAAAAAAACCCCCAAAACATTATGAATGAACACTCATCTTCACATGACACAGTAAGGCTCACGGGGCAGTTGAGGTGGAGTTCTACAGCAGGGAGGCAGGTGGGCCAGCAGGCCCTTCTTCAGGTCCTTGTTGAGGAAAAAGCAGATGATGGGGTTCACGCCCGCTTGGGCGAAACTCATCCACACGGTGGTGGAAAGATACCGGTGCGGGATGGTGCACGCCTTCACAAAGACCCGCCAGTAACAGGCCACAATGTACGGGGACCAGAGCACCAGAAAAAACAAGGTGATGACATAGAACATCCTGCCAAGCTGCTTCTCGGCCTTAAACTCCTCCATGCCTAGCAGGCGTCTGTTCTGGTTGTGCAAGTTCTGCCTGATGCCCAATAAAGTGGGGGGCATTGGGCCACGGCCGAACCCTGCTATCCAGTTTGCGGCTGCCTGGCCTGTGGCTCCAGGTCCGTGAAAGGTCCAGTTTTGGCTGATGGCTGGAACCATCTGGACCGGCTTCATCTTTCGGTGCTTGTATTCGAACAGCAGGAGCTTCATGTAGACCACGTGAGTAGCCAGGATTAGCACAGCCAGCATCAGCATGAAGCCTAGCGTGTCATTGGCCTTGAAGTAGCGATGTTCAAAGATGCACTGGTCCTCCTCGCGGATGAACTTGTAGGTGCCGACGTCAAAGATGGGTGGGAAGGCCATGGCGACTGACAGAGTCCAGACCATGCACACCACCGCCACGCAGGTCCAGAAGGTCATTCGCTTGGAGTAGAAGCGGTGGTGGGCGATGGCCATGTAGCGTGTGACGCTAATGCAAAACAGCATGAAGGCAGCATGGAAGCAAAAAAGGACGGCCATGAAGGCCACCACCTTGCAGCTGAGCACGCTGTAAGTCCAGGCCGAGCCGTTCTTGATGGACACCAGGACAAAGGGAAAGCAGACCGCCGAGCGGATGGTGTCGGCGAGGCAGAGGTCCAGAAGAAAGTAGTAGGGTGCCTTGTGTAGGGCTCTGTCCCGTAACACTAGCAGGGATACCACTAAGTTGCCCACCAGGCTGATGCAGATGATCAAACCCAGAAGGACAAGTTTCACATAGGTAGACACGGCCGAGGAAGGTGCTCCACCCATCACGCCACCTGTCGTGGACACCATGGCTGCCAAGGGGTTCCCAGGCCCATCGCTGCTTGCGTTTCCGTTGGCCATCCCTTTTGCTGCTCAAATCGCACACCTCCTCCTTCAGCTCCTCCACTCCCTCCTCCACCTCCGCCTCCTCCGGTTGAGCTGTCGTCCGTCCTCGTGGTTGCCTTTCGTTGTTGTCTCAAATGGACGGAGAGAAGCTTGATCTGCATTGCCCCATTTTTTGTACAGTTCTCTTTGGAGCGTCCCTTCAAATGTGCCACCTCTTCTGGCCTCCACACCTATGAATAGAGAACAAAACATTTGTTACGCTTGTTTTCTCACACAAACAAATGCTGGTCTTTAAAGGCCATGAACACTACTGATTTTGGGAGAAAGTATAGCATTTTTGTAATTCCTGAGAGAAAGATTTTTAGGTCAAGAAGACTGAGATAGCATAAAGTGATATTGATGCAGGAAAGAGAGATTTTTCTCAATGCCACTACACTACAAGTTCTTCCTGGCAAATAAAACTATTTGAATTTGTTGGAGTACTGAGGAGAATACACAAATACAGTAAACTACTGGTGCCAAATAAAAACAGTAACTATACTGCTATGGCCATTCATAATTAAGCAAAAACTGCAAAGTAAATTTTAAAAAGCATAACAATCAATAAAGATAATCTGGAGTTATTTACCATATGTGGAAACATACTGGTGCTTTAATGTATAGGGAAAATACTGGAAAATTCAGTATTTTTTTCCTGGAAAAACTGTTATTCACATTACCATTCTGTTCAGGTTTGTTCAGGTTTCAGACTGCACTAACGCTGGTCAACCATTATGCCCAAAGTAAAAGATGAGACAAATGACAAAAGTAATTCTGCTTTAATTTGCTCTTTTGTATCTTTTTTTCTTTTAAATTTGCTGATTTATTGCTTTTTACAGGGCTGTCAGTATGTTTACAAGCACTTTAAAGGCCCATATTCCAGTCAGAAAGAAATAATGGGTTGTCAACACAAAAAAGTGAAATGGAAAGTAACGCAGAGTCTGGAGAAGTTTTTAAATGTTAAACATATTTTAACTTGGCACAGTGACATAAAAATGTGTATTATGCACGGGACACTGGAAAAGAAGTGAAACGGTCACAAGACTTCCGTGTAGTGCATGTTTACATTGAAAAAACAAAGAAAAAAGAGATTTGATTCAGCGGAAATGGTGCCAAGTCCAAATTCGACCTAGATAATGTGGTTGTGTCGCTCGGCCTCGGCATTGTGCACAATCTGCATATGCTACTAAAGAGCGTTGGCTCAATGATTTGGTTTCGCATTGTGTCAGAACGATAAAGAATGTCTCTCAGATATGCAAAAATCTGTTGTAGCTTGATTCTAACTTTGCATGTAAACGACAGATGAGACAGATATGATTTCTCAAGACACCTCATGGAGTATGTTAGGAAATAGCTTGTTTATGTTTGATAAATAATGATTCTATTAAGTTAATTATTTACATCTCTAACTGGATTGTATATGCATTAAAGATTTTTTCAATAATATTAAATATCAATGATATTAGATAAAGTAAATAAAAACCAAGGAAAGCACATTTTCATGTTTCCATTCTTAATTATTATTATTTCAAATAGATCATGTTACATTAACTAAAATATTATGCTCTTACTCATATAACATAAGTCAATTTTTAAAGGGGTCATATGATGCGATTTCAAGTTTTCCTTTCTGAGGGGGCTTTGTAGAAAACGAAGCGTTTGAGAGAGGCGGGGCATAGAGGACTTACAATAATGTACAGTATTTGAAAAATAATGTGTTTTTTGAACATTAAAGCATGTCAACATATTCTGTTACACCAAATACACAAAATAATGATCTTTAAAAAAGCATCATATGACCCCTTTAAAACAATAAATATCATCTTCTTCCTAACCATGAGTGCTTACACCAAATGTAAAATACTAAAAAGGTGCTACAAAATGAATAGAAAAAAGTGCACCTTTGCACCACAGTAGATATTTTAATTGTGTCTACCATCAGTAAACAGACCAATCAATAGTCTGCTGAATGGGATAAGCAGGGCTCCTGTAAGCATCTGCTGTAACATGCTGAGGAACATCTTCTGCTTCCCCTTAGTGCCGAGCAGATCAGCTGTTTCCACCACACGCTACATGGCATGCCAGCAACTAGTATTTCATGGTAATTATTACCTCATTGTTGCTAGGCTACAACACATCACTTTTATGTGTTGAGTATAGGCATGTGGGGGCAAGGGGGTGGGGGGGCCAATGAAAGAGTTAGGGGATGGGAAATCTTTTTCAGTCTGCACTGAAGGCGACAGCAGAGCTTCAAGAAAAAGCTTTGGCGTATATATTGATAGTGACGGCTTGAACTAACTATGTAGATATATAGCATGATTAACTTCGGCCCACTTTTTACCAAATGTTTCTGGAAGTTCCACGTAACCCAGACTTTCTCATTTGCACCCACGCACAGAAAAGCCAGTCTCAGCCCCTGGTTGATGGTATTTAGACGAGGGCATGTATACTTGCCAAACAGACACGTCCCCTGCTGTGGCGTAGAACAGCCAAGCTAGCGTTATCCCGCTCTCTCAATGTGAAAGAGCATTGATCCATGAATTCAGGTGTATACCTTCACCTGCTGTGGTGCTATTGGCAGCATTTAAAGAGCCATTTGTGCTAACCCTCACCGGCTAACAGCCTCTGGTAGAGAGAAAGCTAAAAGTAGACGCCAGCTGATGACAAAGTCATCGAGTACCTTAGTCCAACAGGAAATAGAACTGCGCCGACCCATTGTTTTAGATCAGAAACACTAATTCACTTGTGTCACAGCAATTACAGCTGCTTGTTGCTAGGCTACAGGGTCCTTCTGCCTTGTGCGGTGTATGTGTATTTGTAAGCCTGAATGCAACTCAGAATTGTATGTGTTGAGGTGAGCTGAGAAGGAAAGTGTCACTCATGAGGAATAATCAGCCAGAACAGAGTCTGAAGTGAATGTTTCTGTCAGAGAGAAGATAAAATGCTACAACCTTACCATGACATCCTGTTGTAACCGGTTTACAAATTGTACCGCTTTACATCAGTAACAGGTGTTATTTGAACTGGCAGTTTCACTGTGATTCAATTTCAGAAAGGTAGTTGAATTATTGTTATTTTTCAGAAGATGTTTTCAATTGTTGCAACATTTGGGTAGAAACAGACCGATGATGACAATGTAATTATAAATATGATAAATATTAAGTCACATAACGTGCTACATGCGTGTCACCAAACCTTACCTTTATGCAAATAAAAGATGAAAGGCTCAAGGAATATGAAACTTGAACAACTGTTTCACAAGTGCTTAATGTCACATTTCTCACTTCAAAATAAGCGGTTAAGTGACCTGGTATAGGGGGAATATTAACATTTTTATGGTCCAAAGATGACAATTTGCATACGGACTGTTCCCACAGTAAATGCTAATGTGCTCGTGCTTTGTTCTGTGAAATAAATGGCTAAACAAGAATGTGGCTTATTTGGATGTGTCAGAGCTGCTACTGTCGTTCTTGTCACCTACATAAGTGAAAGTTCACCTCTCTATTTTCTCAGCTAGATAGACTCGTGGGAGACATGTACGCATTCCAAAGAGGGCGGTTGAAAGTTTCATTTTACTCAATGAAAGAGAATTTACCCTCCTATCCTCCACAATTCTTTGATAGGCCCTTAACAGTCTCTCAGATATTCAGTATGGAATGAAAGCTAGCTATATATTTTGAGCACTAACTGGTCTGCTGCAGCCTTCATGTAATCTAATGAATTTAAATGTGCCTTATGGTCTAGTATGGTAATATAGCCCCTAGAGTCAAAAGCCCTTTTAATGTTGTTTTCTCACTATATAGCACAGTACTTGCCTGAACACCCATTTATTGCTATTATTCTAGCCCATAAGTGTATTATGTGCAATGCCAAAAGGTTAGATTTGATTATAGATTGTTTTTTTTGGTAAATGTTACATATTTGTTGCTATTGTATACATTTTCAAGCAAATTACTTTATTAAATAATTGAAATAATAGTATTTGGGATTTAAAAAAAAATACAGTTAAGATAAATGGGCAAATGGGCCCAAATCACAAAGATTTATTGATGAAATTTAGGCCTAACTGTACTAATATTGTAAGATACCTATCACTCTATAAAAACAAAATAATATAAGAGTAAATAAAAGAGAGAGGTAATGACATGCAGAAAATGAATAAAAAAGAAAAGTATATTGTGATACATGTTGCCCCTATGTAAAGCCCTCCTAGACGCATTGTACATAACGGTTTAATAATATTTTATATTTACAAGATTTTAAATCAAAATAGACTTTTTTTGTCAGACTAATATTCAGTAAAATAAATATTTTTTCACACACTTAGGAGTGAACACATACACACACACACACACACACACAAACATTAGCTACATTGTACCCCATTACAGTTGTCATCCCTTGGGTTATCATTATGTTTAATTAATTATTCTGAGTCTTTAATATTTCCCTCCAGAGGTTTGGGGTGCTCTTATCTCGCATTAATAGTGAGAAGGCCTTCGATGTCGTTGGGAGGAGTCAGATGTAAAGGGAGTTGGTTGGAGGTAAAAGGCTGGATAGCAACAGCAGTGAATATCGCTACCGTGGTCTCGGTGGGAGGAGGCGACGCGGAATTCACCAACCAAACAAGCCTGAATCATTTTGACTCTCCCACACCTATCGTTTTGATACGATACAGAAAGAACAATGTGATCCCGTCGTTCGTGGTTAGCTTTTATAAAACGTTTTTTCTTTTCGTATCTCCATCATCCTCATTTACGTTGGGCTATCGGTGCGCTTGGTGAAGCGCTACACTGATATACCTACATCGTTTATTGAACTGGTGCCTGTTTTACAGCGCGTGCGTTGTCGATGGTTTTCCTTCAAACACATGAAAGAACATAAAAATAATGAATTACCTAGAACTAAAGACGTGACCCGCACAGCCAATACGAAAAAAAGTGCAAATGGCCCGTATGGACACTGAGCGCATATAGCCTACAGTCCCAGACAGTGTTACACTGATATTTCGTTATCTAACTCTCTTGGGTGCGATTCCCATCTTCTTGGATGTGCTGAGCATTGTGACCTGCATGGTTAT